AATTTTTAATCCCAAACAAGTCGCACCTTTCTACTTTCAAGTTTAAATTTATCCAAAGCATCTTTCATTTGCAAAGGAGTCTGTTCTTCATCATTGTAAACGCGTACAAGCTCTTTGTAGAGATCTGGCAGCTTATTTATAAGTTCCGTAACATTCGCTTGAAGTTCCATTTTGTGCTTTGTTAGATTAGCTTCAAATTTTTCAACCTGGTCCTAAATAGAAGCACGGATTGTAAAATTAGTCAATTAAGCTAATTTGTGCTTAAATGTTACTTTCACTCCATAGGTTTCAGCCCAAGTTCGAATTTCTTCTTTTTGCTGAGCAATCGTCTCGTTCTTCTTCTTCAAGATGTTGTAATAGTTCCTCCTTGCCTCAGCGCTAACATTTCGAAGAAAAGGAGGTGGAGCTGGACGATGTGGAGCTTGTTTGCCATGGTGGATGTCTTCTTCACGGCAGAGGACAACTCCAACAATGACCAACGCAATGAAAAGAGTGGTCATCCTAAAAATCAAAGTTTGTGTAAGAAGCTTATAGTCATGAAAGAAATCTACAGTAACAGAATGATCATTGAATTGTACTCTATAACAACGATAATGCTCTTACCCCATTGTAGCCTTTTATAGTGGGATTGATGCTGATATATGGTCGCCGCCCCTTCAATGACTCATCAATCGTATGGCTATGTTGACGTAAAATATCGCTTTGCACTGGAATTGATCGAGGTTACTTATGCAAATATCCCTACAAACGTATTTACGACATTAACATCGATAAGTACGCGAATCTACTAGTTATACACTTATAATATACTACTTACTTCAATTGTGTTCTAGTACAGCCTATCATTTCATTGAGGCATTAACTGCTGAACAAACCAAGCTATAATAAGGGTAGAGGAAGCTTAGGTTGTGATCAACAAGCTAATATTAGAAATAGGTTGTAGACAGTCGTCAACAGTGGACATGTACAAGCAGGGTACTATACTTTGTTCGCATAACATCAAATTCTATATTTTGAACAACTTTTCATATGATTTCTAAGTCTTAACACTTGTTTTTCATGTTCTCATGTTCTGCATCGGTGCATTGAAAGGTGGTTAACTTATTGACTGCGAAACTCACAAATAGGACCCTATTTTCTGATCGCATGTGTCGCTCCATTCTGATTTTCTATAAACTTTCAATGTATCTACCAGATGAGCAGGTGATTTACCTTCACAAAAAACTAGCACAAGCAGTGGCCAGCGCAAGACCCGCAATTAATGCGCGATCGACAATGGATTAAATATAGGAGTAGTTGAGTATCAGATATAATGAAATCCATGAAAAGAATACATACAATTCAGATATCATTGTATAACTCCTTTTTTGAACCAAGAAGAACAAAGAAAAGAGAAAGTTCATATACTAAAATGCTAATTACGATCAACGAAAAAACGAAACAAGCATTGCTGGAGACTTCCTGGAAAGAATTGACCTTATACAATCAAAGATGCGGAAGCTTTGAGGCCTTTCAAAACGAACACCACAATGACTCCGTAAAAATTTGTCACAAGAGACATGCTGTGTGAAAAAAACGCCCAAGAACTAGTTTTCTATTGATAATACCATGAGTAATCAAAACATCAACTGCACTGCGCAGACAAAACATATCATAATGATATTTCATTGTCATATAAAATATACTGGAGATAGCAGATTTCTACAAGACAAAGAAGACTGTTATTATAGATATATGCGGAGGATCAACCAAAATCATCTTATTTGTACTTATCTAACCCTGCAATTTTTCGAACAGCAAAGCTCTAAACAAAACTCTAATGGTCTACATAGAATTGCAATACGGTGATAATTGTGAAAAATATCTGATTCGGTGCTCAAACAATTTTTTCCTTCAAACAGTGTTCTGCGAGAATGCTTACTGTTCAACTTTGCCAGCGCTTGATGCATACCGCAAAAAAATTTTATG